GAGGCTTCGCCATTCAGTTTATCGGTAGAGTGACCAGATATGGAGCTCAGTGAATTCGCGGCACTGCCGAAAAGCTTCCCGTAGTTGTACTGCATCACACGCCGGTGGAAGATCATGAGCTGGACAACTCGACTCTGGACTTCGGATGGCTCTGGCATATTATCGGGCCAAGCGAACTCCGGAGGTCTTTCGTTTCCTTTCCTGAGAAGGCCTTTAAGCTTCTTCTTTACCTTATCCGTTTCGTCCTTTGCGGCATTAGAATCATCTAACAAATCCTTGCGGATCGTGATAAAGTCTTCGGGAATATCCTTCTTTCCCAAAAATGACGCTGCCCAAATTTGAGCACTGGTTGTGACTCGTCTCTCTGAGCTGCTAAAAACATGCACCTCATCAAGGATGTCCCTGTTCAAAAGCGTCAGGTCGTTCCTCATGCTTTCTCCCAGCTCCTGGGACTGATAGCGAGCGGAGTGGGTTGGTTCTCCACCCCATTTGACTATCAGCTGAAGCTTATCAAGCACCAGTTGTTCTTCGGCTGCCGTAAATTTGGACATCGTTACCCCCGAAAGAGAATCATGCCGCTTAGGGGCGATTTTGGGGGAGTATTCCGGACCCGGAGGGCCAGCATCTGGCTTCGAGGGGGACTCGACGTCCTCCTTCAAGCCAGGCAACTCTCCAACACTTGGGATTTCTTCTGTCTTTTCCGTCTTTTTCTTCCGGAACAGAGGTTTTATCTGAACTTTAGTCCCAGCCCAGCTCCCTTTCTTGACAAGTACATTGCGAAGACCTCTGAGTTTTTCGATGTCTTCAATGCCCTCACCGAGCGCCATTTCGACAGCGTTCAGAACACTCGCCAGGGCTGCCTCGCCAACAAGAAGAACCTCTTCTTGATGCCCCCTGAGAAGAGCAATGAAAGGTTCAGTATGGAATGTGAACTTGAATTTCTGCTTTGGTGTTCGATCAGCGTGACGAATAACAGACACAATGCCCTTCAGCTTCCACGAATGCTTTGGTAGGGGCGGCTGAGGCTCGTTCTCCTCGTTTGTCTGGCTTGGCGGCGGCAGACCAGGGCTTGATGCTGCTTGGGTCCTCAGTGACACAAAACTAACGTCATGGGAAGTGACGTCCGAAGGTGGGGGGAGATTGATCGAGGCTGCATCGATACTCGATACGGTGGACGAGAGTATTTCATCGGCCTTTGGTGATGCAGTGCCACTTGGTCCTCCGGAGGCGTTATCATGAGATTCGGGGTAGCTTCCAGGGATCGACCTTTCAGGGGCGTGCAGCGAGGCTGAGGGAAAATCCCTTTCCCCGGTAGCGGTTGAGTTGCGGGGGTGGGCTTCGAACTCTGAAGCAGCAGGAGACGGTGCTCCCGATGCCGCGCTTCCTCGCCGGAGCCTCTCTTTGACGAAAAGCTCCTTCAAGATATTGGAACAATGGTCATAGTACTCGTTGTTGTCCTTGACGAAACTCCAACCGTTGACGTCGATGACATAACTCTTCCCTGACACCCTCAGGAGGTCAAAGCCACACACACGCTGGCCGAAAGCAGTTGAGATTTTACTGGCCATATCTCGCTCCTCAGGGCTGAGAGGCGTAACATAGCGCAGCTCCTTGCCATGCTGGTTTCTCCTCACCACACCATCCACTACAGGGGACTTGCGCGTCTCGGCATGGCAGAAATTTGGCCCTACCGTGTAGGCTTTGATATCCTCTGCGTTGTCGACTTGCATGAAGCTTTCGTAAATATAACTACCATTAGGCTCAGTGATGGCACGAGGCGTATTGAGATCGGCCACATAGTCTGAGCTTTTGTTCCCAATCTTCCGGAACAACTTTCTAGCACCACCGCCTGCAGATTTAGGAAAGTAAATAATGATATTGTGATCTTCCCCGCTTGTCGGCTTTTCAACAAATGGCTTCCTAAGTGTTTTGCCGTCAACACATAGGACGTCACCGTCCTCAAGTAACTCCACTTGGTGGGGTGGTCTGATCTTCTCAGGCATGACGGCATCTATGGACACACCAGATATATCTTTGACATGCTTGGCAATCTCCGGTGTGAAAAACGTAGGACCACCGTCTCGACTTATCTCGAGACGGCTGGGTGTGCGTACATGTATCTTGTCGAGGAGCTGAAGACAGAGACGTCTGTCCCAGAGAATCTTCTGGCAAAGAACATCGTTGACGCAAAACGGCTTTCTAGCTTTAACGTATGCAATTGCTTTCTCCAGAGGGAAGCCATCCGAATAAAAGGAAATAAGATAATCACTGCGACCTTGTCAGTTCAATTGACTTTGCGCAGCTCACGGCGAGGCGGGTGGGGAGAGGTAGCATGCAGAACTTTGTCTGGCGATGGTGGACCACTTACCAAATGGGCCAATTTTCCACATCTTCAGCGCATGTCATTAGCACTCACAATTCTAGACCTTTTGTTTTGGATTCCCTTTCTTGGGATGTCTGGAAAGGGATGGCTCACCTTCGTCTAAAATTACCTTGTCACCAAAAACGATGACGTCAAATTCGCGGTTGGCAATAAGCCTATTGAGAATATTTCGGCTAGGCTTGCTTCTTGCCTTGATGTCCAATGCACATATACCGATGACACCCCATGGAGCTGGTTTGACTATTTAGTATTAGCATGTACCTATAGCCAATGCCGTCGAGAAAGACTCACCATCTTCCCTCTCCCTATGGGAAGGGCCTCGATCGCTTCCAGGACTATGGCTGCTGTTGGCAGTACTGCCGCTAAACCGTCGCTGAACTCTACTTCTAGATCGCCCAGGTCGAGTGCGTATATTGGAATGGGTGTTGGTTTCAGATCGCTGGTTTCGCCGAAACAGTTCAAGTGGCTGGGAATGGCTCTCCCTGGTGGTAAGGTTATGGTTGCCAGACGGCTGACTTGGCTGAGAATTTGACGATGTCGTCACGAGGACATTGGAAACCCCCGCCTCAGACTGCGACTGGGGCAGCCCCAGGCCCTTGCCAGATGACATTAGGTACGATGCAGAGCGGACACGGAGGCCGGATTCAGAGCCGTGGGCGGTAGCACAAGGCTTTGTAGCTCCTCGTGGAGAGGGCAGAGAACTGTTTGATAAGCGGCGGGCTTGTGCGCTAAGAAGACTCGAGCTGGCAGTTGGAGATCGGTGTAGTAGATACGACCGGGAGGGATGTTCGTTGTCTATGGTGGGGCGCAATCGCGGGGTGTCCGAATCGTCGATTGCATCAGAAGCAGGGTTTTCCAGAACACAATCGTCACTGAGATAAGAGCTCGAGGCACCCGAGATACAACGGCGGTGCTGGAATGATTGGCAGATGCCCCTCAACGACCACGGAGAGGAATTCGGGTAGGCGGAGAATTTGCGAAACTCGGCATGGACCTCAGATGTGCCAGGCTCGGCACAGTGTTTCTTTCTCTCAGCAATTGAACTCGGCGTGGAGCACAGAGACACGCTGCGTAAGCGAGAGTGGTCAGCGTCGCCTTGGTACCGATGGGGATCGGCAGATTCAGAACCAGGAGTAACAGGAGCAGGATGATGTTGCGAAAACAAAGAGGAGGGCGGCGGTTTAATATTCGGTGAGAGGGTGGCGGACGATGTGGAGGTGGAGGTGGTGCTAAAATCTGCCGGGTTCATGGTCAGTCGGTGCCAGAAGAGCTCTTTTAACTTTGGCTAGCGATCAGATAGGTGGGTTAACAGTAATTGGATCCAATGGAAGGGACACCCTCCCCTGAAGAATAGACCTGGGGGAAGCGATGATGCCTGTAGTGTGTTGCCTTTATTATCAACGGCAAACGGCCTCGAGAGCCAAAACGAGAAAAAGAAAAGAAAAACCCTGGGCTTGCGGCCCCAATAAGAGTGCATGCATCTAAGACAGCGCCTGGGATCGTCCATGATAGGCCCGCCCAAGCGCTCTGGATACACGCGTCCAGAGGCCAGAGGCTAGAACAAATTCCAAAGCCATCGCCACACTAGTCACGCCTGGAGACCGACAGCAGCGCGTGTTCGTTCCACGCATGCATGCACGGTTATTGGGCTTGGTGTGCCGGCCACCAGGAACGAACGTGGACAAATTGGAGCCGCAGTGTGGCACCCAGCCAGTGCCAAGAGGAGCCTTCTGTAGCAAGAATGCAGAGATCTCCGACGAGATTAGCAACAGGATCAGGCTCCAAGGAGCCTTGATTCTTACCGAACGGGTCCTATAACACTTACGGTCACAGTGACACCCTCCCTATAAGACTGGGCATGTAAGGAAATGGCCTGGCAGATGCTCGCGTGCTATAGTAGGAGCACGTGGTCGCGGCGCCTACCTACAGTACCAACCGGTCAACATCAAGATTGAACTTGAGTGTTGGGGATATATTTAGAGCCAATAATATGACAGCACTTCTCCGTATTATTTTTTTTGCCAATTGCTGCAGAAGTGCTCTGCTCAAGACTGCGCTTCAATCTGATGTCGCCCACTTGATGAATGGTAGACCTTGGCTCAGCACCACTACATCTATTTCCATATCGCATCTCGATGTCTATCCCTTAATCAAACCCGGCTTCGCCCTGGTAGACAGCGAAACAGTCTCCATCACATGGCTCTCGAGAATTTTCTTCAATGGACCCTGTGGGAACATTCTCGTTTTCCCAGCTCGTACTCAACAGTCACATTCCACCATGCTCCAGTAAGCAGCGGTCTGATTGCCGAGAAAAGAGAGAACAAGGGCGACACATGCCAAATCAGCCGGCCATGGACCAAATAAAAATATGGAGTTGGAGCTGTCGAGATCTGTGACGCAGCAGCTGTGGGTGTTAATTGGCCCACAGAGTAGAATCCCTGCTTGGTCGCTACGCTCTGTGTTATCAGTCTTGATAGCGATAGTGGACCCCAAAAAAAAGTTGCCGGCCAATTGAGACACCACCGAAAATTCACCAGCGCCCGAAAAGAGCCTTGGTGATCCTCAATCACCAGGAACATCTTCACATAGCACGGGTACGGCTGCTTTGACCGACAAGATGCCGCATTCCAATGTTGAAGGACCCTTGGTGAAGCGCCAAAAGGTGACTTCCTCCAGCAAGGCAGCCAGGGGCGCAGATTCTTCCCGAATATTTGCACCTTTCAGGGTACGTCCAACTTTCCAAGTTGTATCATTGCAGGTTTGCCTCCGTAACTAACATTGATTCGGCGGTAAGACTGTAGGTCTCGTGTCTCCTACCCAGGTCCCCTTCACATCCCTGCCCCTCGGAAAGACGAGCTTTCAGATCACCACTTCTGTTGGACGATCCCTACAGACCTACGACTTGCGCCGCGGCCTGAACCTCGTTTTTGTCAGCCAACCGCAAACTCCGGCCGACATCACAGCAACCTTTGCCTGGAAGGAAAAGGTCTTCGCAGCATGGGGAACGTCAGGAACCGATTCCCCGAAGGGTATCTGGGTGTTCCAGCGAGGAAAGAAGGTGGATGAGTTGGAACTACCATCGGACATCACCCAGCCAATTCAACAGATTCTTGTCCTGGGAACTTGGATTGTCGCCTGTGCTACAACCCGAATTGAAGTTTTCAAGACGGCTACATTAGAGCACTACACCACTATTCATACTGTTACCGCTCCGGGTGGTGGAAACGAGATCACCGGCGGCGTAACGAGCATGCCAACCTTCCTCAACAAGATTTTCGTCGGTCGCAAGGATGGGTGGGTAGAGATTTGGAATTTGAGCACCGGGAAGCTCATTTATACGATTCTACCACCCTCTCCCGACTCAGGCGCTGTCACTTGTCTCGAGCCGACTCCCGCCTTATCTCTTATGGCAATCGCCTACTCCCACGGCCAACTCATCATTACCAATGTTCTCACAGACAAAGTCGTGCTTCAAGTTGAAGCAGGTAGCTCTGAACACCCTGTTAACAGCATCTCCTTCAGAACCGACGGTATGGGAGCCGGCCAAGATGGGAGGAAGGATGGTGTCATGGCAACAGCGACCCCTTCCTCTGGAGATATTACATTCTGGGATCTCAATGGTGGCGGGCGTGTCATGGGAGTTCTCCGAAGCGCACATAACCCCCCTGCCTCAGACGGCCCGTTTGTCAGTGGAGGCGTCAGCCGGGTCGAGTTCCTATCAGGTCAACCTGTCATCGTGACAAGCGGGCAAGACAACTCTCTCAAGTCGTGGATCTTTGATGCAACGCCATTTTCGCCAATTCCCAGAATACTTCATTCTCGAAGTGGCCACGCCGGCCCTATCAACTGTCTCCAGTTCCTCCCCAGCGATTTCGACGGCGCTGATGCTGGAAACAAGTGGCTCTTGAGTGGAGGTCAAGACAGAAGCTTATGGGGCTGGAGTTTGAGGCGCGATGGCCAGAGCTCGGAGCTCAGTCAGGGTAATATCAGGAAGAAGGCAAAGAAAATCGGCATCTTGGCCACGAATGCTTTGGCTCACGGACCGACAACAACGCTCGAGGATCTCAAAGCTCCTCAAATCACTTGTATCGCTTCCTCCCTTAACCGAGACGGAGGTATAGGTGCACTTCCTGGGAAACAACCAATTTGGCAAAAGGATCTAAGCCAAAAGAAGGCCGAAAGTGCTGAAATAAGTGGCATGACGGGCTGGGAAAGCGTTGTCACCGCTCACAAGAATGATACACACGCAAGAACCTGGTTCTGGGGCAGGAAGCGCGCAGGTAGATGGGCCTTCCCGACAAGCGACAGTACCAATGTTTCTACCGTTGCCATCTCCCCCTGCGGCACCTTTGCATTAGTGGGTTCTGAAGCGGGTGCCATCGACATGTACAATCTCCAGTCCGGTGTTCATCGGCAACGTTTCCCTTCCAAGCTGACGCCAGCGCAAGCCCGCCAATTGAGGATACAGCAGATGAAGCAGGCCGATGATGTGGTAAGACTTCAAGGAAGCCCTCAGAAGTTCTCTGCCGGTACAGGCAAACACACCAAAGCGGTCACGGGTATCATTGTTGACTCAATGAACAAGATGGTCATATCCTGCTCGGAAGACGGAAAGGTCAAGTTCTGGGACTTCCTCACGGGCAATCTCGTTGAACAGATTGACTGGACCTTGACCTGCTTTCCCACTGCAGCCAGATACCACCCCGGCAGTAATCTGATAGCATTTTCTTGTAGCAACATGTCTATCAAGGTGGTAGACATGGAAACGAAAAAGGTCATTCGTGAGTTCTGGGGTCCCCAAGATATGATCAATGACTTTTGTTTCTCTCACGACGGTCGCTGGGTCATTGCAGCGTCCCAGGACCAAGTTGTTCGCGTGTGGGATCTTCCTACCAGTCACCTGATCGATGCGATTCGCCTTGAGAAACCATGCAAGGCACTCTCTATGTCTTCATCTGGAGAGTATTTGGCCGCAACAATCGAGGATCAGCTGGGTGTCACAATTTGGACCAACAAGTCCTTATTCAAGCACGTGCCCACAAGACAGATATCTGAGAACGAAGTTGGTCAGACAGAAATGCCTACTGTTTCTGGGTCTGGCAACGGCGGTCTTTTGGCTGGCGCCTTCGAAGAAGAGGAGACAGAAGGAGATAATGCAGTTTTGGCGCCCACCATTGAGCAACTCAGCTCAGAACTGACTACACTGAGTTTGGTACCCAAAGCAAGATGGCAAACTCTTCTCCATCTAGATCTTATCAAGGCACGAAACAAGCCAAAGGAAGCACCCAAGCTGCCAGAAAAGGCACCATTTTTCCTGACCTCTGGCGCGAGCGATGCCAATGCTCAAGACAAGAACGAAGACCTTTCCAAGTCTCGTATTACCAAACTTGACAAAGAACGCTTTGAGGAGCTCTTTACGACCAAGCTGCGAGCTGGGGCCGCAACCGGAAATTGTAAGTGTATAATTATTTTCGCTCTTCGCATACCTCCTACGATGGTGGCCATTTGCTAACGACCGTTTAGATGATGATTTCATCGAACACCTAAAGTCCCTTTCACCGTCAAGTGCCGATCTTGAGCTTCGGTCGTTGTCCGTAGGAAAAGGGGACGATGCCTCCAACGAGCTCTTGCATTTCATCCGCGCCCTGACAGCCAGGCTGCGAATTCGGCGTGATTACGAGCTTAATCAAGTTTGGATGACCGTGTTTCTCCGACTGCATTCCGACCTAGTCATGGGCAGCGAGGCCTTGCTGTCAGCGTTACAGGAATGGAGGTCATATCAAGAGCAGGAATGTAAGCGACTGGATGATTTGGTTGGATATTGCAGCGGAGTAGTCGGTTTCCTTCGAAGTCCTCGTACATAGTATTCGGGTCCAAATATACATCCATATATTACTATTTCTATTGTACATACAGACATCCATCCATCTAGCACTGCGTGATGTAAAACCATGTGAATCGAAGGAAGCAGAAGGTCATTGATTCGTTGATCTAAATTCTCCATGGCAGAAAATCCATGGAGTATTCAGGCTAGTGGTCAAAGAAAAAACTTTATGGCACCTCCGATTCACAAAAGGCTCACATCACGCAGCGGTAGATTTTTAGGTCATCAACATTGACGTGGGAGGGAAAATTGTGCGGGATGAAGTCGCGACCGCAGCCTGACCTCGCGATATGACTATATCTACCTGCCCTTATGTATTACTTCGCTAAGAGGGGACGGAGGGGAGGATATAGAGCGAGACTCCTTCCATCGACGAGGCTGCCATGTACCAAAGTCGGCAGCGCGGAACTTTGTCTACAAATGAACACGAACGTAGAGTGCGGTCAGACACGGCAGGCAGAGACGGTGAGAATGGGACGAGTGGACCGTTATGATTCGAGTTATCTCAGACGCTGCATCTTTCATCGCGCGTAGCAACCAATTCAGATGTCCATCATTAACGTTTGAGACTGGGCCTACCCATAATAGGTAGACGACCATGGCAAGGGGAGTTGGGTATGTTCCATGTCGATTCGTTGGTCAAAGCGCACGAAACGTAAACACATCGAGTCTGGGCTCACGCGACGAATCTCGCAACTTCCTGCAGACATATCGATCATTCAAAAGCATCACACGTTCTCGTTTCGAGTAAGGCCCTATGCAGCAGAACACCAGTCGACACGCCTTCTTCATGACCCAGCATCAAGCTGTGAACACAATGAAAACAAGGACAAAATCAAAAATTACGCCTCCCATGGCCCCGAAGGACAATGGAGCAAGGACAACACCGCGCTGTGCAATGCAGGCCATCCGTACTGAACCCCCCAATTCATGAGCTGGGGAATTCGAAACAAGGTAAGTATGAAGAAGAAAAGAAGAAAAAGTTGAAAAGTCTGGGAGCTCCGTCTGCTTTTAAAGACGAATCTCTGCCTCAGGCCCACTTACTGATTGCGCGTGGTGGGTCTCCACTCGCAGCTGCCGATTTTTTTCATTGGTCGGAGCTTGTAGGCAGCAGCCTCAGCCAAAAGCTTCATTTTTGGACCAATGGGAAGCTCCCATATTCATCAGGCAGCAGGCAGTCGCATTCAAGTACACCTACCCTACATCCTCCTCCATTTGCTTGCTTTCTTGCTTGCATACCCTCTGTGAGCTTTGGATCTCGGCTCTCCATGAGGAAAGCCTCCAAGAGTCAATCTGAGAATAATGAAGACAGCCATGTAGAAATACAGCTTCGGGGATTTGGCACAATGGGCAGCAAGCTGCACCGATTCGGGAGGAAGAGCCCTAGTAGCGATGTTATCACGAGTAGATTTGGGTGAATGGGCCGCGATTGCACATACATCTATACTTTTTGATCAAAGTGCTTCTGGGGATGGCTCGGTGATGGCAAGTTTCGTTGGGACGGTTCAACGCATATTATTTCCTACGCTGGCCGTTTGACGGCCTCATGAAATGTAAAAATATACTCGATATTAGTTATTCATCTATCGTAACTAAACTGACTACTGGTATGCTCCGTGGAGGCCCATCTTTTGAAGAGTACCTGGTTGAAGTTGTTCTTGATCCTTCATTCATCAGAACGAACTAGCTGTGATTGTGTCTAGACTCCGGACATGCAACTTCTCCTTCAAGAGCGGCACAAAATATGAACTGGAGCCACCAGCTCGTCTAAATGGAGAATTAAGTACCATGAAGTTGATGATATACTACTGCCTATCCAAATGCTGTTCCCATTCAGTACATATCATGCCGCTTGCTATAGGGTATGTCAGCCCAATGGACTAGAGGGAAGATGCTACACTCTCAAGTAGGTAGGTAAGGTAGGTAGGTACTTTTATCACCTAGGTAAGTAGAGTATGTATGAAATATAACCTCCAGTTAGGTACTTGAAGTACCTGTTGATACTCATCTAGGTATGTTGAAGTCAATCGTAAATAGGCCAGAACAAAAAGACCTTCAAAAGGAGATAGGAAGAATCTGTGATCGGGCTTTGGTCGTACAGCATCTTATTGTACACAGCATAGGAACTACAACTAGCATAGACAGACGGATCTCAACTCTCGAGTCCTCACAAAGCATTTATTTTACCTGAGAGACCGAATGAGAGCTCTGTTTCTGTGCAACTTGTCTGGGCGCTTTTGAGTGGCCGGAGTCGAAGCACCGATGGCACAGGTTGATGATTTAGGGGGATAAGAACCTCGGGGCAGCTAAATACCAGCAGCGCCTATCCTCAGCCACTACCTTACCTTGGAGGTTACAATGAAGTGGATGGAACCTGGAATGACTCAATGATGTGAGCCGCAGCGACCCCCAGACCTGCTACAAAGTGGATTGCTAGCGCCCGCATGCAACATCAAGCGTGCAGCTGCGGGGCAAAAAATTCCAGCCAAACTTTCTGAGCCGGAAATTTTCTGTCGCGACCTTTCCTCCCAAACTGCAATCGCATCATTGTTCGACAAAATGGGCAAGAAGAACTTCAGGGTATGCATAGCGTCTCGGCTCATCAAAGTAGCACCCAATTGAATAGTACGCAGCTAACCATTGGATTATCGTGTAGGGTAAAGGCCGTCGCGGAGGTGGTGGTGGCCGTGGAGGATCTCATGCCAATGGTGGCTGGAGAGACTATCCTGCCATCGCGAAGGAGCACGAGGCCTTCCAAAACTACTACGACTCGCTTCTCCAGCTGCCAGAAGAGGAGAAGAAGGAATTTTGGGATGCTCTGCGACGAGATCTCCCCAACAGTTTCCGATTTGCTGGTTCCAAAGGGTAGGTTTGATCGCTTCATCCTGGTTCTGTCGCATCCGTTGCTGACCGGTCGCCAGCCATGCGCTCTCTGTCAAGAGACATCTACAGACCCGCTACATCCCCGAGATTGTCAAGATCGAGCACCAGGATGGCCGCCCCGTCGAACCCCCGCAACCTGTCCCATGGTACCCCGACGAGCTGGCTTGGTGGATGACGACCCCGAAGAATGTCATCCGCAAGTTCCCACCTTTCGCTGCTTTCCAGAAGTTCCTCGTCTCGGAGACAAGCGTCGGAAACATCAGCAGACAAGAGGTAGTCAGCATGATTCCTCCCCTGCTCATGGACGTTCGTCCTGGCCATGTGGTGCTCGACATGTGCGCTGCTCCCGGAAGCAAAGCAGCCCAGCTGCTCGAGATGATCCACCAAGGAGAAGAGGCCCGTGTCAAGAAGGTCCTGCGAACATTCGCCGAAGAGGACGGATTGGTGGTTGGAAAGGAGACGCAGGACGAGATTGACGTTGATCTCGAAGCAGACCCCTCGGATGCTGGCAGAGCGACTGGCCTGCTGATTGCAAACGACTCGGATTACAAGCGAGGCCACATGCTTGTGCACCAGCTCAAGCGTTTGTCTTCCCCGAACCTTATCGTTACGAACCACGATGCTGTCCAGTTCCCTTCGATCAAGCTACCCTCCGAGGCCGGCAAGAACGTTTACCTGAAGTTTGACCGAATCCTTGCTGATGTTCCTTGCTCGGGTGACGGGACTCTGAGGAAGAATGTGAACCTATGGAAAGAGTGGCAGCCGGGAAGTGGCCTGGGTCTCCACCTGACCCAGGTCCGAATCTTGGTGAGAGCTCTGCAGATGCTCAAGGTTGGCGGTCGTGTTGTGTACTCAACATGCAGCATGAACCCCGTTGAAAATGAAGCAGTGGTTGCAGCTGCTATTGCCAGATGTGGCGGAAAGGAGAACGTCGAGATTCTTGACTGCAGCAACGAGCTGCCCAACCTCAAGCGAAGACCTGGCATGAAGTCCTGGAAGATTATTGACAAGACATCAAGAGTGTGGAATTCCTGGGAGGATGTTGAAAAGTTTGCAAAGGAAGAAAACGAAGGTGTGGTCCCCGGCAAGGTTGTCCAGACTATGTTCCCTCTTCCTGAAGGATCTGATGGCTTCGACCTACCCCTCGAACGTTGCATGCGTGTCTACCCTCATTTGCAGGACACCGGCGGTTTCTTCATCACTGTTTTAGAAAAGAAGACCGACTTCAAAGCTCGCCCTGAGAATGAAAACAAGAACACTGTAACTCTCAACCAGAGCAAGGCTTCCGCACAAGCTGATGTTGTCTTGGATGAAGAGTCAAAGCCCACAGCTGAGGCTGAGCAGACGCAAAAACCTGCGGAATCTGATGAAGCTGCTGCTCCAGGCAGCAAGAGAAGCCTGGATACATCTGAAGCCGAAGAATTGCCAGCCAAGAAACTCAAGGCTGGTGGTGAATCCTCCGAGGCTGCCACCCCCGTGGTTCAGCAAACCGAGACAAACAATAAGCCCAAAAAGAACGGCCCTACCGAGGAGCCTTTCAAGTACCTTGACCCATCCCACCCAGTCATCCAGAACATCAAGGAGTTTTACAAGCTATCAACACGATTCCCGGATGACCGATATATGGTTCGCAATGAGATGGGCGAGCCAGCCAAGGGAATTTACTACACTACTCAACGAATCCGAGACATTCTTACTGAGAACGAGGGCCGTGGCATTAAGTTTGTGCACGGTGGTGTACGCATGTACATGAAGCAGGACGCACCATCTGCTGAGGTCTGCCGATGGCGCATCCAAGCAGAGGGAATGCCTATTGTTCAGGGGTACGTTGGCGAGCCGCGCGTTGTGCATCTCACTAGCAAGGAGACATTCCACAAGCTCCTCATCGAGATGTTCCCTCGCATTGCCGATGACCAGTGGAAGAATTTCAACGAGATTGGCGAGCGGGTCAGAGATATCGGCATGGGCTGCACTGTTTTGCGTATCGAGCCGGAAGGTGACGATCCTGATTTCTCTGAGAGCATGGCTCTTCCGCTCTGGAAGAGCATCCAATCCTTGAACCTCATGCTGCCCAAGGAAGACCGGGCGGCTATGCTTCTGCGGGTTTACAACGACACATCGCCTCTCATCAACATCGGCTTGAAGAAGGACCAGGATAAGAAGGATAAGGAAAACGCCAACGGCAAGGTAGAAGAGACCGAGGCAACGGAAGGAGCTGCCAATGAGAACGGGGAGGAGAAGCCAGCTGGCGATGACAATGCCGCTGTGGAAGATTTGCCCACACCCGAGGGGATGGAGTAGCCTTCCAAATCAAGGGAATTTTAACAATTGGCTGAAAAAGCGTCATGATTTATAGAGTATAATGTACCTTATTCGTTCGTCCGTTACGTTCTATCGTATGAGTCCCTTTACTCTTCCCTCTTAGAGCTGTGATCCTATAATACATAGGCTGTGCATAAACGTAGGCTCCGAGAAACCACAACGACGTCCTAGTAGCTACTGGCGTCTTTTGACATGCGAGTGTTGTTACATAATATACAGGAATTCTACTATTTGTGAGATTACTCATCTAGGAGGCCGACTGTCCAGTGGGTGATGCGATCCACGCCCTGGCCGTTGATGGCGCTCACTGGGATGGCGGTGCAGTTCTTTGTCCAGGAAGACTCCACGCCGCTGGGGTGGGGGGCGTCGCCTCGTGTGATGCTATCAAGGTACGCCTTCAGTTCGCGGAAGTTGGCCTGCGTTTCGGGAAGGTCTGCCTTTGTGGCCACGACAAACCAGGGTTTGCCTGTGATGTCCAGAGCTGCCGGCGGGGCGTCGAGGGCGGCGACATCGGCATTGAGCAGATTGACCTGGGCGGGCGAAGTCAGGTCCCAGTCAATCTTGGACTCGACCTCGCGGTCGTGCTCTTCCTCCTCCCGCATCTGAGCATACAGTCCGACCTCGCGCCACAGGGCATCGAGCGCCTTGACTGCGTTGCCAGCGCCGAGGTCGATGACAAAGGCGAGGACGGCGGCGCGCTCTACGTGGCGGAGGAAGGCGATGCCTAGACCGCGGTCAAGGTGAGCGCCCTCGATAAGGCCCGGGATGTCGGCGATGGTGAAGCGAGTCCGGCGCTCGCTGTCCTGGCTGCCGTCGGGGTTGCGGCGCATGGAGGCTGAGACGGCTGGGCGGCCAGAGTATTTGTCGAGGACGACGGTGCCGATGTTGGGCTGGAGGGTGGTGAAGGCCCAGTTTCCAATTCTCGTCCGACTGTTGGTGAGCGATCGCAACAAGGTGCTCTTGCCGGCGTTGGGCAGGCCGACGAGGCCTACATCGGCCAGAAGCTTGAGTTCGAGCTCGATTTTCATTGTAACTGCATCCTCGCCCTTGGTCGCAAAGAACGGGCGAGGATGATCTTTGGAAGTGAAGTGGGGGTTGCCTAATCCGCCGATACCTCCAGTGGCAAGTAATATGGGCTGTACTGTTGGCCTTGACAGGTCGAGATGGACCGGAGCAGGAGGCTGATTATACATTTTAGTGCGTCGAGGTAGTCGAGGAAAAGCTGACCCTTTCATGTCGTTTTTGGACATGCCTGGATATAGCAGCCATTTGTGACGAGTGGGATCGTCTAGTTCTGGATCTTCGTCTTCTTCCATCTCCATTGCTCGAGATGATCTCCCCAGCGGCTCTTCCTCAAGCTCTTCCTCTGCCTCTTCCACCTCCTCCCCTTCAGCCTTGGCAAGGGCCTTTTGCTTTTGCTTCCTTCTGCGCTCTTCCTCGGCCAACCTGATCTCCTTCCTTTTTTCTTTCTGGATGGCCTGGTATACCTTGATATTCATGGCCTCCTCAGCGGCTGGGTCGGATCGCTCGATCTCGCGAACAATCGTCCCGACGGGCACAGTAATGACAACATCGTCACCCTTGGTGCCGCCTTTTGCGCTGCCCTGGCCGTGCTTGCCGCGACCCGCACGAACGAACTGCTTGCGAGCGATCTTATGGAGAGAGGTCTCGCCATAGGCAGCTTGTATGTAGATGTTACCGCCAGCCCCGCCGTCGCCGCCATTGGGGGGCCCCTCGGCGAGGAACATCTCCCTCAGGAACGACACACAGCCATTGCCACCACGTCCGGCATATAGGGTCAGCTCGGTCTTGTCGGCGAAACTGGGCGAGGAGAAGTCTTCCGGGGCGGGGTTCAGGCGAGACTCTGGGAGGTTATTGACGGTTGATGTGCATCGCTTCTGGAGTGACACCCGCGCGATGACACGGGTGGAGTGGCCTGCTCGAGGTGCATAGAGGGATGGATACAGGAACGGCGCCAGCGTGAATGACGGAGCCGTGCACCGGGGGGACATTTCCCTTCTGTTTCTCTGCGAGCAGAGACGTTGTCCTTGTCGGTGGTAAATCAATTATTGAATGGGGACGTTGTTTGCTGGTTTCCTTGGAAAAACTTGTTATCGATAAGCCATCGGTGATCTCAGATATAGCACCTGGTATATAAATCCAGCCTGCCATGGAACCACGACTTACTCTAGCAGTCAAAGAAGATAGGTCTCGATGTACCAATGCAATTTACAGTGAATGTTGGTTTAATATGATTTCCACTAGGTTTACTGATTTATATAGGACACTTATCCTGTCTTGATAGCGTCACTGACGACTCTCAGAACATGCTTGGTGAAATATTGCACGAACATACAATAAGAACAATGGAGATGATACAAGATAGGGCAATCCAGCGAGGTCACACGGCATTGGGGTGTCAATACCATATAACGACGCCAGGCCGCTGCAGCTTCCTGCAGCATACCTGCGATAAATCTGTACAAACATTCAAGCTGGTATTATGCAGATTCATAAGAGCTATATGAAACGTAGGGAGTCGGCCATCGCTGACAAACACAATATCACCGTGCATTATGATCCCCACGCCAAGCGAGCCCGAACCCCTCAAAGGGCATCAGTACAGCAGCAGCCTAACCATCATCCGCATCGAACACTGCGGCTCACCGGCTGCCAAGTGCAAACGCATAATCCTGCTGGGGATAAACAGACTCGGCGGGCTGCCCATAAGCAGCGGCGATGGAACCAGCCCGCTGCTGTGATTCGACGGTCGCGTGCATGTCGCACTACGTCCTTGTCGGTACCTGCTAATGGCGCTGTTGCTGCAGTGTCGAGGAGGCAAAATGCGGTGAACTGCCCGTTGAAGCTGGTCCCGCCTCCAGTTAGTCAGTCCACTCTCGACTGAAGTGACTTCTCCCGTGCGGCCACTTTCTCCCTCGGGCTGCACGTTTACCTCACTCTCCAGCCAAGCTGCCCCGTGTTCTGCTGCTGCGCGTATCGTGGTTCCTCTGTCGGAAGAAGTTGGTCTGCGGGACATCGGACAACGACTGCTTATTTAGCTGCCATCCATTCATTGCTGAGCTGCACCTCGCTGGCACCAATCAGATCCATCACTGCTTTCCGCCTCGATTGGCCCCCTTCCTCGTCTTTCGTTGCTCCTGCCTTCCTCTCCCGCCTTCTCGCCTCGAGCCAGAAAAGCCTCCAGACACCTCTTGGACAGCGGCAGGAGAGCAGCTGGCCGTCAATTGACTCGGGCACGGTCTGGTTCTTATTATTGTTGATATACTGCGTCGTTACAGGCCGGCGGACCAAATCACACGATTGCGGAACCCAAACTGCTCCGGTGACACCACCTCCTCACGCAGACCATCGCCAATCTTGCTCGATCCGACCTTAGGAGACTATAGCATCCCACTCGCATAGCATTCTCAGCCGACTTCGATTGGTTGGGCTGCTAGTTCGTTGGGCTAGCTTGCATACGTTTTGCCAGTCCCGCATTCGAGCCACGACATCAAGGGTGTGTCCTATTGACTCTCCTCATTCGGCCGTTCTCCACACAACAGACCTACATCCAGTCCCCATGTTACCCTGCTGAGCCGAAACTTCGAGATCGTGCGTTTGTCGAACCGTCTCGCCCTTCTGCCTTCGTTTCTGGCTCGTGACGCAACTTCTTGGGTTGGCTTGCAGCACAGACGCCGTCCAGCCCGGACTGTTCCCTACGTACAGCCGCCGCTTCCTCCTCCTCCACCCCCCCCGTCCTTTGCGATTGAACCGACTCCGCCCCTGGATCCTTACCGCCCAGCGCGCCGTCGGTCTCCCCACGCCCGGAGCTGCTGCCACCACCACCCTTGATTGATACTTTAGGTCAGTTGCGTGCCAGCCAGCATTGACTGCACTTCCACCTCCCCTTCCTCCCTCCCTCGCCCTTAGCCCACTCCAGCTTTCGGGCTCCTCCCAGATCCCAAACCTCTTCTCATCTCCCAATGTACCCATGTATGGGCCCCAAGGGACGTCCTTCGTGATTCATGTATATCCTGCTCCGGGTGTAGTCAGTCCTTCACTCAGAGTGCCCTCCTCTATGTATCGATCTACATCTTGTCGTGTATTCCCTGCTGGTCCAGTAGCCCGCCATTGCCCCTCACCATAACCTCAAGCTATCGCCTCGGTTCCTCGGCCTCCCGCTAAGATGTACTTTAGAGAACCAAAGCCAAAGCCCCGCCGGAACATCATCAAAATGGATCCGGACTGTGCTATCTGCGGAGCGCCTGCCGAGATGGCTTGTGAATGCGAAGCAAAGGGCCTCGATGTTGCCATGAAGCAGGCAGAAGACAAGGTCATGAAGGATATGTACTTTCAAATACGGTATGTCCCATGATCCCGCTCCTCATCGGCTTGTTGGACCGCACACTGACATGTGATGACATAGACAATGGGTTAGAAGCCATGCGCAAGATCATATCCTAGATTACTTCCGTATGCTATCTGATCAAAGGAAGACCCAGCACTCAGAGCACCTGGATCAACTGACCAACCATGCTTATCACTATTACAATGCGCCCCCTCACCCTCAGCATCTTGCTGATGCCCAGCGCACCCTGAAAGAAGGCATCGATGAGGACTGGAAGGCTAGCGTGGAGCTCTACCCTGAGGTCCTTGAGTATTTCTTCAATCTGGTAGAGCTGAGCTTACCCTCGAATGACGATCCTGTTGTATCAGACCCCCCCTTCAAGGCGAGCCCTCAGAGGAAGCCCCCTCAACGCCGAGTCGGTCCCCCACCAGGTACGGGCGGCGGCGCACCAGGAGGTCCTGTTGGAGGTAGGGGAGGCAGAGGAGGAGGCGGAGGTGGGGGAGGACCTGGGAGTGCGTTTTATGAAAACAGCCAAGCTGTAACTCCAATGCACTACGGCATGAATGGTGCTATGAATGGCGCTATGAATGGCATGGGCGCCATGAACGGCATGAATGGCCGGATGGGTGCTATGAACGGAATGGGCGCCATGGGCGGTATGGGTGGCATGAATGGCCTGGACGCCAGCCACCTCCCATCGCGGACCCCTCCTCCCCCTGGTGTTGGCCGACACGATCGTCATACCCCCGGACCTGGAAACAGACGCTCTACTGGTATGCGATTTGGACCTCCGCCGACAACCGCTCCGTATTACCCAGCATACTGAACCCGATCATTCTTGGGCAAACTTAGGGATAGTGGACCTTGATCACTCCGCTGTCCCCAGGAGAGGACGGCTTTTGAAGACTTGACGATTTTCACGATATCTACGACTCGGCACGATAGTAATAACGGCATGGCGCGGCATATTCGGGAATTGTATGGCGAGCCGCCAATTCGAGCTACGAATCTCCTTATGTTTTAACTTGTTTTAAATTGACTACAGCAACCAACAAGCTGTTACTTATACGTTTCGACACGACCAAGTTGTACTGGATTAGATGCGAACGAAAGGGCATATCGTTTGGAGTATGGGAGTGACATATTTGTTGATAAAAGAAAATCATTGATTTATACAGTCTAGTATGGTCTGCGATTTTCCACACATTGAGCTTACTGGGCCGTGCCCAGAGACCAAGAACACATCACTGTCGCCGGACAGGAGGAGAAGCAGCTAGGGGAGCCGCTTTGATGGCTACAAATCTACAAAAGATATAAATAAAAAACACGTTACAATGCCTGCCTCATACACGAACTTTAGAATGTGAATAGAGGGCGGGGGGGTAAGATATCAGATGGTGGGTCATTCGAAGTTCTGCTCATTCGTTTGATTTTTGATTATTCCTATCGTTCCCAGAGAGCGCTCAGTAAATACATCGGGAGAAAACAACACCACAGTGACGCTATCTGCTCTCTGTCCCTTTTTGTTGCTCAAGACCCCTCATCACGGCCGTTTGGGCCGTGACTCAAAACATTCCCCAACCCCAACCATTTTATATCCCACGTCCCAGATCTTCAATGGCTTCGGCTTTGTATATCAAACAAAATTTCACCATATCCCGACGTAGAATAGGAAAGAAAAGGAAATAAGAGAGGGAAAATAGGAGGCGTCAGTCGGAGACTTTTTTTTGGCAGATATCATTCATTCCTTGCTGGCAGGATGCTATGTAAAGGTGGGTTAAAAAAATAAAGGAGACAATTGGACTTTTTGGTCGGATGAAGAGGGGCGAGAGGGAGGTTTTTGGACGAGAGAGGTTTTTGAGATTACGCCTTATGCCTGAATGGGTTCCTATTATTTCAAGAAGGTGCCAACCGCGTGGCAGATTATGACTCCTGCTTGTCGGCGATGGAAGTCTCCTTGAGCTCGGCGGTGGCTTCCTCGACGCCGTTGGTACCGTTGGCCTCGGCCTTCTCAAGCTCTTCAATCTTCGCCTTTGCCTTGTCGATGTTCTATGGGACAGTTCGGTTAGTTTCGTCTATTTTCAGAGCCGTGAAAAGATGCAACTTACGCGCTGGGTCTCAGCCTCCTGGTCACCCTTCCAGTGGTCCAGCTTGGCCCGGACCTTCTCAATGACAGTAGGGACGTCCTCGCTGCTCATGGGGGGCTCAACGCCAATGAAGGCACAGTCCTCAACAACAGAAGGGGGGCAGTTGAAAGCCTTGGTGGAGGCTGCGTTGGCACCGCCCTTCTTGCCCTTCTTGCCCTTCTTGGTGGAGGGCAGATACTCGTCCTCACGGTCCTCCTTACGCAGAAGCTTGGTTCCCTTTAGGCCGGCATCGTCGACGGTACGCTGGGTCTGGGCGCCTAGGCCTGAATCGGCCACAAGAGGGCCCTTCTCGACCTTGTGGTTGGGGTCGAGGAACAGCAGCAAGCTGTTGGCGCGGCGGATCTCCTCGAGGTAAGCAGGGTCGCTAGCCTCAGCGAGAACTCGCTCGGCCTCGGCCTTCTTGCGCTCCTGGTGGTAACGGTCGTTCTCGGCCTTTCTCTTCTCTCGCTGCTTCTCGCGGAGCTCACGCTCGAAAGCCTGGAAGGCCTTCTTCTGGCCAAAGTAGTCGTCCTTGAGCTTGCGAATGGCGGTGAAGGTCTCCTGCTGCTCGGCATGGAGCTTGGTGCGCTCGTCACGGAGGCTGGAGATGTTCTTGTACGCCTCGTCCTGCTCGGCCTTGATGGTGTCAAGCTCGGCCTGGATCTTGTTGTACTGCTCGGAGAGGGCCTTCTGCTCGGGGTCCTCCATACTGTCCTTGATCTCCTTGATCTTGGCACGGAGTTCGTCAATCTGGCGCTGCGAGTCGTCGAACTGACCAAAGTTCTTGCGGGTCTTGCGCAGGCTGGAGATATCGGTGAGGGCCTTCTTCTCGTCAACGAGCTTCATGGTACCCGAGTTGACCTGCTTCTCGAGGGTGGCAATCTGGCGGTCGACCTCCTCGAGGGACTTGAAGGGAACCTTGGCCTTGGCCGTCTTTTGCTCGTTGATGCGGCTTCGGACCTGCTCATCGAGGCGCTTGATCTGGTCGAGCTTGCTAGTACGGGCATTCTTACCACCGGCCTGCTTCTGACGGATCTCGTTTGCCTGGGCAATGAGCTCCTGTCGCCGCTTCTGGGTCGGGCTTTGCTGGTCCTTGTTCTTGTTGGGGCTGGCAATATCGATCTTGGCCTTGATGGCGTTCTTGAAGGGGCACGCATGTCAGTGAACTACATCTTCTTCTTCTAGCGCGGGCAAGCATGGCGAGATGAGAGGCCATTGAGACGTCGAGAGGGTCGTACCAGGCGATCCATAGCAACCTTGTGCGCCTTTTCGGCCTCAACAAGCTTCTTCTGATACTCATTCTCATCAGGACGGGTGGGACGAGCGGTCTTCTCCGCCGCAGGGGCGGTGGCAGGGGCAGCCTCGGCCATTGCGAAAGTTGGGCGGGTGATGGGAGAGCTTGGTGGGAGAGAATGGAAGAAAAAGAAACCAAAGACTCTTCTCGCAGGCCCTGTGAATGGGAGAAGAGAGCAAGGGTTGGGAAGGGAGAGGGTGGCGCGTCTTCGAGGTGATTCTGCCCTGGAAGGGAAAAAAAAAACGATTGTACCTGAATGCACGTTGGACGTGTCCTCTGATAATACCTACGGCACTCAGTATTAGGAATTTCCACTGCTAGATTTGTCGCTCTGGATGGGGTCTGTGCGCCCCATTCTGGTGATTCTTAGTGCCACTTCACCGTTGTCCAAGGGTCTTTCAAGGGGGCTTAGGGCCTGGAATGCTAAAGAAACGTCCATCTATAGGCTATCCAGCCATTGTCTGCTAAATGGGGCTTGGTGGGGTTCCTTGGCCTTTGTGCCTTCCTGCTTGAGAGCTCAGCAGGTAATAGCGCCTCAGCATCTGCCAGGAAGCAACCAAGGTGAAGGCAGAGCCTCCGAACTCCGAGTTCTGTGGGGCCGCTTTGTTCAAGTCCTCACCGTATCACATGACCACAATTTTGCTCCCTTCCAGCCTAACCTGCAGCTGCCGCGATTATGCGAAAGGCTCCATTCGGTTGATCTCATAATTTTTTTGACTAGCATCCAACGAACGCCCAGTGACGACCAACAACGCAAATAGCCACCGACATATTTGCCAGTGGTGCGCTGATTTTTCTTTCAAGACGGAGTTATAGAGTAATCGACTATTTAATCTTTCTTTTCCTTTCGCAACCATGGATGAGGGAAACGACGCCAGGTCCAAGGAGGTTGTCAGACTCTGGCGAGCATGGAGAACGGCACACGAAATGATCGCGGATCGGGTGAGTCTCTCCCCCAGCGCTCCACAGACGACGCTCTTCTCAATCGAGTTGCATTGGATCTGAGCGTCTGATGCGACTGATGTTGGGTTCGCGTCGTTGCGATTTGAGAGAGCGGGTGCTAATGCGACAGCAGGAGTACGAGCTGGCAGAGGATGAAATCAAGATCTCACTGGACCGTTTCCGTTCCGACTACTGCAACCCAGATGGTTCCGTAAAGTGAGTCCTTCTTCCCACCTCCCCTTCATTGTCTTTCCGTGGGGAGAGCTCGCGGGCTAACCTTTGTTCTCTCGCGTCAGTCGCGGCAAGCTCCAGTTCTCTGCTCGCCCGAGCGACGCCATGCTTAGAAAAAACACACCCCCCAAGACCGACTCCGACCCCGATCCCACCCCCGACTGCGGCCCCGTCTGGGTCGAGTTCCTCAGCGACACGTCCTTCGGCGTCGGCCAGATCCGCAACTTCGCCAAGTACATCATCACCAACCAGTACAAGACGGGAATCATGATCACCCACGGCGCCCTGTCCCCCGCGGCACGCAAGTCCCTCGCCTCCGTCGAGAACCTGGCCAAGATCGAGTGCTTCCTCGAGGAGGACCTGCTGGTCAACATCACCCACCACGAGCTCGTGCCCCGCCACGTCCTGCTGTCGCGCGAGGAGAAGACGGCCCTCCTCAAGCGCTACCGCCTCAAGGAGACGCAGCTGCCCCGCATCCTGCAGAAGGACCCCGTGGCCCGCTACCTGGGCCTGAAGCGCGGCCAGGTCGTCAAGATCATCCGGACCAGTGAGACGGCCGGCCGATATGCCAGTTACAGACTCTGTGTCTAGAGGAAGGGGAGCAGCGAGGAGGGGCGATGTCATGAGGTTGTTGGTGTTTCTGCGGAATGCGTGAGGCAAAAGGAATAGGATCAAGGGGCCAAGAGTCACCGGAGAAGTCTAGGAGCCGGGAAGTCGAGGAGCCGGGAAGTCGAGCAGCATGCGGAGGAAACGCGGGTCGATTATCACTGGGCGCCTAGTCGGGCGTCGAATTTGGATTAATATTTTCGAGGATCGAAAATCTGGCGTTGTTGGGCGTTTTCATTAACGGACGCGCAATGAAAGAACACAAATAGTCAAAATTACAATACAAAGAGCATTATCATCTTCGCTGACCACATGGCTGGGCCCTTTTTGAAGTTGATCTGGCGTATAAACCAAGGTTTTTTTAATGTTTATTAGCATTTGTGAGACTGAGATTAGATGAGCCACCAAGTTGATCCTTCTTTCTACCCAGTCTTTGAAGCTGGCCATATCCGTCACAAGGGAGGCACGATTTGAGGTTCCGAAATCTTTGCAGCATGGTGCTATTAAAGTTTAATTTACTTTTGGACTACCACCAACCAAGCCATCACCAGTAGCTCCATATGAGCCCAGACCAAAACCTATGCCTAGGGAAATAAAAGGCACATCGCAAAGCATCCTGCTGTTGGGGTATAATAAACACGTCATCGTAGCTGTATCCCGAAATTCACCCCGATACCTCTCCCTGGATTGCACCAAAAGCTCGTGAAAACGAGCATCAAAACCAATGTTTAACCTTGGGCTCCTAGCCGTCGAACCCGATTCGCCCCAGTTTAAATAGAAATGTCAATACAAGTGTATAGAAAGCAATAGACGCCTTTGAAAAAAACCATGGGTGTTTAGAACGCCAAGCAAGATCGTAAGTGATATACATGGATATAAATAGATAAAAATCGAAAAGGAACATGACTCCGCCATGTCAGTTTTATACTCATCGTCATCGTATCGGATGTCATAGAATAGAGTCGTTATGGGAAAATCATAGAGTGAGATGACGAAAGTATCGAAATGTAGATCATGCTCTTGTGAAGAGGGGAAGATCAAAAATTATGAGCGGAGCAAGCCGCCAGGGTCTTTTAGAATCGGGCTTGGTTTCCCGTGAGTGTAGGTTTGCTCATCTTGAGATTGAGGAATCGGCTGGAGCTCAAGGTCCTTTCCCCTGAACCGAGAGGATGTATGCAGAGGGCTGAGGAGGCCACCGAGGTCTTGCAACAACGTGCTAGACCCTCTGCGGAAGCCATTTGAACCAGCAGTGAGAGATGGACTTGGTTGCTTGTGATCAACACTGGCCTTGCGTGCGGAGCTTGTTTCACCTTCTTCGCTCAACAGTCCCCCTACATCAAAAAAGGAGACCCTCCTCTGCGGGATATTGGAATCAATTTTACCAATTGGGTCCTGTGAGAAGAGGGATTCATCGCTTCGCCCCTCCTGGCCTTGATTGTGCTGTGGGAACTCCCAGCGCAATAGATCGTCGGAAATGTTTTTCGCTATTGGCATTGGATTGGTACCGGAACTCTGCGGGCGTTCCTGGAGCTCGGGATCCACACCCATGCCCACATCACGAACCAAATCCTCGTCACTGCCCCAATGACGGTGAAGTGTTGGCCGCCGATGATTGCTGACGCGATCGAACGAGTCGGCGGCGGAGTCACGGCGGTACTTCTTCTTCTTTGCGCCACGATCACGGACAAAGGAGCCAAGGACAAGGGCGTTTGCGGACCCGGTGGCAAAGATTAGCTCGACAGATGCAAGAAGTGAACGATACTGCTGGCGGCCTTCCTCTGCTATGATGTGGGGTACACGGTACAAGGTAACCCCAACCACAGACAAGCTGAGCGAAAAGAGCAGACAGAGCTGAATCTTACGCTTCATTCTCATGTTACTGCGAAGGATGATCGGAATCGGGAAGAACACGATGAGTAGATCGGTCAAAATGTTGCAGACAGCCATGGTCAATAGCTGGGCGTATGCTTGCCGACATTGACCTCCAGGGTCGGGCGTGACCTGCCAGTAGTGACTGAAAGGCCGGCACTCGGCGAGAGTGCTGATGCAAACTGCGCCGAAGGTCACTATCAAAGCCCAGCGGATCATAATCAGTGTTCTCTCATAGGATCGTTCCCAAGTGACATCTGTTAACCGCCGGAAAAATTCAAGGGTGGTGTATTTCAAAATCCAGAGCCTAGAAATGCAATACGTCCATTGGTTAGCTCCAATTCCCCAAAAGTCAAAGTGATCAGACACAATTTGTCCAAAGAAAGGCACAATCTCCACTGCAAAGTGAAACCTTCTCCAGCCAACGGTTCGGCGGGTAAAAGCAAAAACGGGCAAGCCACATACGTTGCAGCGTAGCTGATGCGGCTAAGGAGCACCAAACCACTGGCGACCTGTTTGCGATTGATTTCTTCCTCACTCAGTTGAACCCCATCAAAATCCGAATTGTTTGTCCCATAAAGAAGAATGTAGTGTACGCAGGCCATGCGCAGATACAACGGTATGAGGGCGAGCGCCGATATTCGATCCGACTTGAATAACCTCTCCGTCCTGATGAAGCGGCCGGTGACGCGGAAGAATATGGTGCAAGTGCATAGTGCGGTTGCCCACCAGCACACGAGCAGAGTGGGCTTGTCGTACTTGAACTCGCGCAGAGAGGGGGGTTCGGAGTATAGCGACATGGTCAAGGACGACTTGAGTCCGCGCCCGTCGGCCTCCGCAGAGGGTGCGACGAGCGAGGAGAAGGCTATGAGGTGAAGGGCGAGTCGCAATTCGAGGTGTCGTCGGAATGGTCCCTGGTCAAGGCCCTCGGCCGTGTGCGCCGCCGCAACAAACTTGTCGTCGAATGGCTGAGCGCTGTCCTCACAACTGCATGGGGAAGCTCAGGCGATCTGGGGAGGTCTACGGTTCTGTGAGGCATGGGAAAGGACGTCGGATTGGTGATGCAGGTTGGCGACTTGCGAAGAACCCAGAACAAGCAGTGGCGGACCTTGAGCACAGACAGATGTGGAGGGACCAACTGGGCCAAGTGCTCGTGTGCAAAGACCAGGAAAAAATTGGGCTATGAGGTCAGAGCCGAGTGGTGCCGCACTTTTGATGAAATTGGGTCGGGTGATGTTCCTCAGAGGTCCCGGGACTTGAGGGAAAAGAACAAAGATGTAAAAGAAAACGGACGAGCAAAAAAAGGCAGGTTGGAACTAATAAGATACGATAGGGTGTACAAGGGACGACGAGAGATTGGAAGGAACGGTGGATGGTGGGCAGAACGGGCATAGCAAGCACAGAGAGGCGGAGGGGTGGTGGCAGCACGTTCCTGCCGTACAGCAGCAGAGAGCAAGCCAGATTGGAAAGTGCTTTTGCACGCACACTCAAGAGCACCTACGTACCTGCCTACACTACTTACGCATTACGGGCATGGATGGCGGCTGGGATGCTGGCGGAACATGTGCTTGCTTACTCGCTGCCACTGTAGTACGTACCTGACCTCTATCTGGCCCTCCTACAGGACTCCGCCCCGCTGGGACTGTTAGTGTCGGGTCCAACAGTTTGGAGAATCTATCCTACACACACCGTTGGCTTGGTGGCCTTTTAGCGTCTTCCCCTGCCTACCTAGACCCCAAGACCGAGGCCTGGGCCTACCTGAATTGCCAGGTACCAGGAATGTTTGGAGGTACTGCGGCAGATATCGCTAGTTCTAGGCGTGCGCCCGTTGCCAGCTTGCCGATACATGCACGGGCTCAATTATTGGAATTGACGCAAGCAATGGACACGCTGGATTAAATTGGCCATGGCAACTCTACAAGGCTACGAGGTAGCTGGAATACGAGTCAGGTCCGCGCCTAGCTGGGCGTGCTCGAGTCCAGTCTTGGATCGCCACTGACCAGTGCCTGTACCTAGGTATGCACCGACTGCAGGTACCTGGATATGTGAGATAGAGCGATAGGAAGTCCCTGTTAGAGATAAGGAGGGACAAGAGAACACTAGCGAGCGGTCGGCAGCAGGAGGGGAGAAGCTAGCATCGATAGGTCGGTTAGTTGGCCCTCATTGCCTCATTTCTGTGTGATGTCCTGATACCAAAGTGCGAGCCAAGCTTGTCAACTGATTTTGTTGGTCAAGTGCTCCTGGCCGATAACCAACCAAACACTCTGAAAACAAGCTGACACTGTTACGCGTAGGGCGAAGCAGCATATTGGTCCTCCATTTCGACACACACACACACACGAAGCCGCAGCAAGGGCAGTGTACATTGTAGATTTGTAAATGCTGATGGTAACACTCCGTATAAGGCAAGCGTCGGGGGCAGCAGCATGAAGCTGAAAAACCTCTTATCAAGGGAGGCCAACCACCAGTCCACCACCCATCAAGCTCCAATCTCGCGTGTGGGATGAACAAATTAATTCCCTTTGATCGGTTCCGGCTAGATGCCCCTGCCCGATACGCATCTCCCCAAATGTCTCCAAGCTGTTGGTGAGGAGAGCACGAGCACAGGCCCGGAGCCAAGCTTTGCAGAGATAAGCGGTGTCTGTCCGTCAGACACCGAGGTTGGTTTATCTCCAGACTCCGCCCATCCACACTGGCCCAGTTCTGTGACAGACCTTCCCAGGCAAGACATGGGGTCCCTTGGCTCTGCCGGGTCATGGGGGGTGTCAGCGGGGCAGCCCTCGATAGCGGCTGGAGTCGTCATCCTGGGAGCTGCCGCTTGTTCGCATGCGCATGTATCCAGTACCACTGTACCTGCAGGCGAGATCACCCACATGGTGGTAGTGAATACTGTATGGTGCCACTATGAGACCCTATGTTGGGCGGCCGCGACTCGGCGGTCGATGGCTGGTGGGTGGAAGCAAGAAGCAAAGAGCGCAGACGGCAATGTGAAACAATCCGGGGTTCTGCGCTTTCTCGGCGACCGAAGCCAAGATCTTAGCACCAGAGCTAGAGCATTGGAGGAGTGTGCATATTGAGCTCCGCTTACCGTATCGTCGTAGATAGCGGCATGAGTCTTCCTGATTGTGCTACCTCCATCTCAAAACTTAGGTAAGAGAAAGGTCGATATGTCGGGGTCCATGCCTTGTTTCCCCTCCCCCAGCCTGAGCATCCTAATCGGTGGCTGGTTCCACCAAGGCAGAGATACTCGACACCACCTGGTGGTCGTGTGCAAGGTTGGGGGTGGCACAGGTCGGCCGGAGCCGATGACTTGCAATGGCAATCTCGTCTACTCGCTGATTGACCACTCTCGCCATATCTGCTGCAAGTTGGGTATCTGCCAACACCTGCTGTTCATGGTGGACGGCCCAGGGTTCGCACTCCAAACATACCAGGCCCATACACACATGCTATCCATTTGTTGGTAGGTAGTGATAAGGACCCAGCAGTTTGCGCGCTCGGGCTTGATGACGGCCACTGCCCCTCGCCCCTCCCAGTAATTACTCTAATTTTTCCAACCGAAGTGGCAGCGAGACCCGTTCACGCGATCATCCTGGGCGTTGTGGGACTATCCGAAGGCATAGGGAGGCTATATGTGGCCATTGGGCTGGGCAAGTTCCGTTGGCTGGCCGTTGATGACACCTTCAAGCGATCGACGTGCCCCTCGATCCCTGATTGCTTAATCTCCAGTGCATTAGTGCATGAGACTGCCCTGTGCCTAGAGCCTGCCCGCCGCATCTCGCTGTGAAGACAGCGGCGGAGACGGCGCTAAGGGGAAACCTTAACGCCCTGGCGGATTCCCCCGATGTGCTCACATGGCTCTGTTGAAGCCATCCCAGACCGCCACATTGAGGATCGAATGAGCTGTATACGAGCTGATGTCGCAGGTATGTTCTTGATCCTACTCCTTAATTGGAGACCTGATCTCCTTTCATGCTGAACACTCATTAAATAAAGTACTGCCTTGGAAAGGTAGGTATCTAAGTGCAGCTACCTAAAAGCATGGATGGGGTAGTATCGCGATATTGGAAATGGTTAGACAGGTCAACGCGCAGCCAGGATCGAGTCATGACACGCATTTTAGGTTGATTGCAGTGTTGTTTGGGTTGAAACTCAATTGATCAATTGACCGTGATATCTGAGAATACCCTCCGGAGCCACCGCGGGCTCAATAAGGCTCAAGTAGCACGCAGTTTGAGGAGGCAAAATAGTGAAACCATGCTGCGCGCAAATCCTCGGCTTCAAATAGTCACTGATAGAGTGAGGCAGGCCGACGACCATTGCAAATAAGACCTTAAAACGATGCGAAAACACCCTGGTCTTCAGCCCTAAAAATCATAGCTTTTGAACAGTACATATTTCTCCAGGCTTTTGTACCAAAGCCTACCTAGAGTGCCATATACAGCCAAAACTCTAGGACCTAGCGACGAGACGGCGTAAGTGGCAAAGAGGTACCTACAAGATAGTCCCCTCTCAGCAGTATGACACCATCTTAGTTCCAGCCTAGAACGTCGCTAGAATGCGAAATTGAAAATGGAAAGTCTGCACACATTTAGTCCGTTTGGTCTGCGCCACCTGGAGGCCCTCAGGCTGTAAGAGGGTGTCTCGACATCAGGTAGTCAAAATTTCGAAACGTAGAAGATGGCACCAAGGCTGATTGCACTGATACTACCTACCTAGTACGAGGTTAGGGCCACCATTAGCCTCCCATCCCGTAGCATTGCTCTCGGATAGGAAACAGATTACTCGAACAAAGTTCTGACTTTCAAAACTACGCGGCGATATTCCGTCATGGAAGCGGTTGGCATCGGGATGCAAACGACTAGTTATTCCGTTATGAGCTTGGCGTGGAGCCGAAGTTAAATGACTATTGGTCCTAGATCATGTATCACTAAGTAAGTTGTCAACCCCCTTTATAGGCGATAGAAGAAACTATTTTAAGTTACTAAAAGAACGAAGACACTCGCGAGGATGAGACCTACATCATGGGAGAAATTCCATAAAGATTGATTTCAGACGAAAAGCCAATATAGAGCTTTGGACCTCCTGATATGACACGAGCTTTTTCGGGGTCACAGTGTTTGATGGGAGATCCACGGAGGATGCTACTCGGTTTGCGTAGCTAAGGGCAGTGCGATGACATATTATTCACATCTTTTCTAAGACGATCCCAATCATCCAAGCCTAAGATCCTGTACGATCGTCCTAATCTTGTTCTTGTCCGCCTCCCCCCAGTCAAAGCCCGTCAGTCGAGCCCCATCCTCCTCCCGGTCACCAACCAGCCCCCAGAGCTCATCCACTACCATGGTCCGAACCTTGGGCCACGGGTGGAACAGCAGAGCCCCCAGCCTCTTCCGAGCCTCCTGTATGCCCACCGTGGTCGTAGAAGCCGCATCAGGAGCAGGCTCAGCCTCGTCTCGGCGGCTGCCCAGGGCAGCAACCGCCCCGTAAACTTTGATGCAGGCCTCGAGCTTGCGGACGTTGCCGGTCTTGTAGCCCGCCTTTTGTGTCTGGAGGCACAGGCTGCGGAGGTTGATCGTCTTGCTTCGCTGGAGGACACCCACGTGGAAGAGAAACGCGGTGATCTCCAGCGTCGGGACGATGACCCGGTCCTCGCCCTGACGAAGTTTCAGGTTATCGAAGAGCGCTCCATATACTAAGTCTAGGTTCCTTTCTGAGGCATTGCAAAATGTCGTGAGAGCTGCGCGACTAGCGATGACGAGGTCCTCGTTGCCCGTGTCGGCGGACGTGACCAGGCCGGCCATCAAACTCGCCATCCATGTGCCAGGCTCGTCCTTAGCTATGTCCCCTATCTCGTCTGGAAGGTTGTCCAGGTCAACGAGCTGGAGAAGGGCGCGGAAGTACTTTTCAGAGGACAGGCCCAGCCATCGGAATTCACGACCATATCTGATATATAGTTAGTGAACATGTGTTGCTGTAAAAAGGGCTGAGGAATTGGTCCACTTACTGTTTCTCAAGAACCAGAGACAACGCAACCTGGGCCTCTGGACGGACCCGATCAAACTTCTCCGCCGCCAATCGAAGGGTACCGTAGAACAAGGCTCTAATAGATGGACCGGCCCATTCCGACCTGCTTGGGCCACTTTCGATCCTCCTCCAGAGAGATCCCACGGCCCGCAGAGCCTCGACCCTGACGTGGGACCCAATGTCACCTCTGGCCGTCGTCGTGTAATCATCCAAGCCATCAGACAGTATGTCGAGGAACACAAGTGGCTGGTTGTGGAGAATCTGGCTCCGAGTGAGACTCTGTAAGATGGCAACCCGAGTCTCGACCTTTGCAAGCCCGGTCTGAGCCTCATCTGCGTTCCACCGGGCGAGGATAGTCTCGCAAACAATGTCGGTCTTGCCGTCATCGTCGGGCTGCCTGAACGTCGCGACGAGTGGCTGAGACAGAGCCAGAGTGTAAAAGTACCCGTCCGCGGCCGTGATCTTGCCGGAGCTGCCACGATTGCGGATCGTTGCGGCCCAGTCGGCGAGGATGTCTGCTCGTTCCACAGGCTCTGAGAACATCAGGAGGGCCAGCGCCGCTGTGGACGCAGAGTCCACGACATCAGATTCCGTCCTGCTCAGCCACATTGGGACAACATCTCTCAAGGTGGCCAGCAGCTCTTTCACCGCTGTTGGCTTCTGTGCAACGGAGTCCACAGTGGAAACCAAATCGAGGAACTCAGCTGTACTCTTCTGTGCTAGTAGCTCATCCATAGTTTGGATGCCGCTGACGTTCTGGCCTCCAAGGAGTGCGGCTTGTATCACCGCTGCGAGAGAAGACACAAGTCGGCTCACCCCCTCGGCGATAAGCTCAGGACGGCGGTATGTCTGGGTCTTGTATTCGGATACAATCCCGGTCACTCGATTGATAATATCGGCAATAAGGGAAGTGATGTTCTGGGCGCCATCTGCCGCCTTAAACCACCGGGAGAATTGGTTCAAGAGCGCAGCAAAGCATACCAGCAAACCATGCCTCTCCTCAACCTGTCGCTTCTCCAACGCCTTGAGACGATCAGATAACAGCTCGATAGCCCCGTTAAACCTAACAAATGGATCCTCGGAGGCTTCGAAAGAAAGCTCAGCTGTAAGTGCTCCAAAAGCCGACCCGGCGGCTCTCCTTGACCCTGCATCAGTATCGCCAATCCCACGCCAGGTCAGGATCCCATCAATGATGGCCTCCCCATATTGTGGAGATAACTTTGCAGCCTTCAGGGCAACTTCTTCCATCGCCCTGGACCTCCGTGCAACGGCATGATAGTCAACGGCTTGGACAACCCATATGCCCTTTTCCACGGTGTCTGGGTGCCGCCCGATAAGTTCCTGCAGTGCAGCAGACGCACCACGGCGGATGTTTCCTGCAGAGTCTAGAGATGCCGTCATAGCCAACTCGGTACCAAGAACTTGGAGTATGGAGCTAGAGGTCGGGTGGGTTCTAGCCGCAAACACCGAGTGGGTGGAAATATCTTGAAGCTCTTTAGTTGTGTAGCGCCGAGCAAGAGCCCATATACCGAAACATGCAGCGTCGCGCACGTTGGAACCCACACTAGCACCTGAAGTTCCTCGCTGCTCAAAGGACAGACCCAAGAGCAATGCATGTATGATGTCGGCCAGCTGCTCCGCCGGAGGCGATCGACGATACAGCAGATGGGATAATGTGAGCATAAGGCCATGCCACTCGAGGTGGCTCACGGCGGATAGATCCCGTACAGGTTTTGAGCCCAAGTTCTTCTTCCACAAGACATTCTGATTAAGTGACTCGAGAACTGCCTCCACTACCTGGGAGGCCATGTCGGGATCCAGTTTTAAGGTGATGATACTGAGAGACTTGCTTGCAGCCAACCGAACTGGAGTATCGTTATCGGATAGATTTTCTAGCAGGTAGCCAATCGCTGTCTCTGTTAATTCCGTGCTGGCCATGTCCTGCCTGGACTGCCGGAGAAGAGAGACAATAACTGTGCGAATGACCTTTAGTATCATCTTTCTCGCCAGAGCAAGTGATATGATGGTTTTCGAGGTCGCGTCCTCCTGGTGCGCGAGCCTGTGAACAGTGTCGAAGATGGAAGACAGGTATTTATCCATGTCAGAAGTGTCAGATGATGATTGTAGAATCCCCGCGAGGTAAGAGAGAATGCCCAGATAGAAGTAGGGGGTTGAATGCGAGCCATCGCCCTTTGGCCGCAGAGATGAGAGAGACCACTGTACCAGACTGTCCAGAATACCAAGCTGCTGCATGTCTCTCCGCATGGTTATCCTGACTAGGAGGGCCTTTGCGCCATCGCGCTCCTTTCCTGGAGAGGCGAGATACTTGATAGAAAGGGGAATGGCCCTCAGCGCGATGCCTGGCAAATTGGGTGGCAACCGCAAGCCAGGAACGTCCGAGGCCGCTGCATCATCCAGTTCAACAGATGAGATGGTGGATAAGTCAAAGGGAGCGAGTAATAGGTGCGACAGCCACAGAAGGACGATGTAGCGCTGCTCCCAAGACCATGTATTAGCAGGCGACTCTCCCGTAGCAGACTGCTCTGCCTCCTCAACGTCCCCCAGTAGAAGCTCCAAGTACTTGGCCTCTACGTTGAGGAAGTGAACTATGACTTTCTCCCCTCTTATCTTGCAGAAAGTATAGAGGATCTTGCAGATAGCAAACTCTACAGGCACCAGGAGGTTTGAAAGGTCAGCATTCTTCTTCTCAGGACGTCTCGACTGCAGACGCTCCAGATACGTCTTTGAGAGCAGAGGGATCCATTTAGACAGATAGGGATCTAGCAGTTGGGGAAGTTCTTGAAAAGGATCTAAGCACTGTGAAGAAGTAGACGTATAAGCTGAGTACTCTCCGTTCATCAGTGTCAACTTACGTTACTGGTTGCCCAATGCACCTCTCGGGCCCGGACTCGAGAGCGGACTCGAGAACCTCCCTTGCCATCAGATTTACGGAAAAAATTAGAGAGGAATTCGTCGAACTCGGCAAGAAGTTCGTTGGAAGCTTTTTGCAGCTTTGTGTCATAGTCCTGCTCCGGGGCATCCATCGTGAAGGAGCTGCGGGGGTATTAGGATTGTGTGTCGGGCGTGAAGAAGTCTAGCCTAGCAGCCTTTTGCTAACCAGCCTACAAAGAAATTTAAATGCCCGATTCAAATGACCAAGTCGTTGTAGGGCAAGGAGCTACGGCCGCGCTGGAAGACGCAGCTGAGGAGTTATTGAAGTCGAGCTCTTGTGGATTGGGCATCTTGCTGTGGGTCTACCCTCTACAGTGCGATATTTCATATCCACACGTTACGCCAGCCAGTTGAATTTCAGTAGACGAGGAATATAAAAATATATTTCAAGTAATGAAGTAATAAATATGTTCTAAAAGAAATCCGGAACTAAATATCCTAATAAAGAAGAAGAAGAAGAAGAAGAAGAAGAAGAAGAAGAAGAAGAAGAAGAAGGAAGAAATGAAGAAAAAATGAAGAGAAAAGTGAAAAGAAGAAATGAAATCATTCGCTGTGCCCAAGTAAACCCATATCCCATTCCGTTCGTCATGAACATCACATGTGTGCCCAAAACCAACTCCAATCCAGAATCGCTCTAGTGAAGAAGAAGAAAAAAGAAAATGATAAGAAAAGAAGAAGAAGAAAAAAGACCACTAAGCGACAGCAACGGCAGCGACGAGCGCATCGAGCGCAGAGCTCTGGCTGGGACCCGTGGCCTCCGTGTAGGGCCCCGTCCAGGCGACGCCGAACTTGTTGTCGCCGTTGCGGTTGTTGCCCCAGATGCTGTCTGCGTTGCGGACGATGAAGCTCCTGAACTCGTCGTCGGCCCGGGCCTGGTGGAGGTACCGCAGGTTCCTCAGGAAGATGCCCTTGAACTGCTTGCCGTCGACGCCGCACAGCGCGCTGTCCTTCTCGCAGCCCGTGGTCTCGACCAGGACGCCCTTGTCGCTGGACATGGCCTTGATGGCGGCCTTGGCGATGCTGGTGGCGGTGTCGAGGAGCGCGGCGTCTCCAGTGGCCTTGTTGAGCTCGACGAGTCCCCCGAGGATGACGCCCTGGTTGTAGGACCAGGTGGGCTGGCCGTTGTTCTTGCACTCGTCGTTGAGGCCGTCGTTGATGAGGTTGTTCTTGTTGATGAGGCCGCTGTTCTTGAACCACGTCCACTGCTTGTTGGCGATCTCCAGGTACTGGGGGTTGCTGGGGATGCGGTTCGCGAGGGACGCGGCCACGGAGAGGTAGAGCTCGTTGGAGATGGCGCTGACGTACTTGCGGTCCTTCTTCCAGTAGATGCCGCCGTTGCAGGGCGTGCCTTGCCCGGTCTGCATATCCTCGAAGATGCGGACGGCGGAGTCGAGATACTCCTGCTCGCGGGTCACATCATAGCTGCGGATCAAGGCGAGAGCCCACCAGCCCTCGTCGTCATAGTACTCGTTGAGGAAGTTGGCGAAGCCTCGCGCGCTCACGCCGCCCAACTTGTCAGTGGACTTGACCAAACCATTGGCCTGGTATACCTTGCTGGTCTTCACAGACGTCTTCTGGGCGTTTGTGAAAGTGTTGCGCATGTAACCGCCAATGTTCAACTTGTTTGCTTCATCCAGTCGGAGGGAAGCAAAGTCGGCATAGGTTGTGAGAGTGTTGGCACTATTCCACCAGGCTGCGTTCCAAACACCAGTGGGGACATCATACCATGCCGAGTTCATCGACTCGATGCCCTTGATTGTGTAGGAGACGTAGTCGTCGGCACTGGCGGCGTGGGCGATGGGAGCCATCAGAGAGAGGGCAGCAACGCCCGTGGAAGCCAGTGTAAGTCTCATCTTGATTATTTGGTACTGTGGGGGAAGAACTCGAAAAAGTCACAAGAAGGACAAAAGACTCGGGAAGGTCAGAGAAAGAAGAACTTCAGATTCAGAAGAGAAAGGATGAGTCTGATGATTCAAGACAGACATCATGACTATTCGGCGGGCTACTCAAGGCATTATATGCTCCATGCCGTGCCATGACTTGCTATGCGATGCCGCCCTCTCACGGTACAGCACACAGCCAACAACGCGGTGTGAGTGGTCATCTCCGGTGGTAAATGCATAGTTACCCGACTTGTCCTTTCCCTGACGATGTCCAAAAGCCCAATAACACCCCGGTGAGATAGGGCCAGCGGTAAAAGCCCCCCCCGTCGACGGACGACATGGCCAAGCGGAACCCGATAGTGTGCTGGGCTCGAAGCATGGTAAAGTCATTGATTGGTTCATGGCGTCTATCCCGTCATGGCGGAGTCCTAAAAAAAGAATGATGGACGGGGCGAGGTTGTTTGGTGTTTCAGATCCGGCGGCTTCGTACCTGGACTCGGTCTAGCATGGATGATGAGCCAAGCTGCCAGCTCAATGCCAGCTCATGCCCGTCTATGCAAAATGCCTGCTGCCAACTGCCGGCCCATTGATTAATTAAATGATTTAAGGCAGAGCCCCAGCGGTTCACTCACAGACCGGAGTCACCGACTCTTGGCAGGTGTTGGGTGACCAGGACGCGACCGTGATTATGTGCAAACCGAGTTGCACAGCATGATGTAGAGGCCATCTCACATCCTGACCCCAGTCACCGATGGCCATCAGGAGAGGTGAACATAATTCAAGCATGAATCATAATGTCATGACCCATCCATCTTCCACTTTCTAGGTCGTTCCATTTCCAAGGCTGACCGACTTACTCTCCGGCGAGACCACTCCAATCCCCTTTTTCAGAGTCGAAGCACAGCCAAGCAAGCCGAAGGAGCACGCTGGTATCCGTGGCATCGATCCGCCGTTGGCTGCAGCACGAGCATACCGAGAAACAACGGCTTTGCAAGCGAGCAGCCTTGGACCCTGAAGGGCAGATTGATTGAGAATAGATCGTCCCCCTTGATTAGTCTGCTTGGCGGCTGGATGAGGTGAGCGGCTCTGGCTCTGCGTGCCAAGCAGGCATCTCGCCAACAGGGGACAGGCCGTTGGCAATGCCTTGCGGTGCTGGACAAGATGAAACCGAAAAGCACCTCTTTTTCTCGCTCGGGAGGAGCCTAACAATTTGAGGTCGATCCTATCAGTCGCAAAAATCTAGATAGCCCGGGGACTGCCCAGAGAGAACGGCGCTCGGGCCTCTCTCTTCCTTCCGCACTGGCTCGGGTTTCATCGGGCTTACTGACAACCAGCACAACTGCAAAGATCAATCTGATTCTCTATTTCAATGCCTCTTGAGATATATTTATCAGGAAAGAAAATAGGCAAAACATGAAACCAAAAGAGTGTACCCAAAGACACACGCAGCCGTCCGTAACGGATCGCAAGCTCGACAAACTTGCAGCAGAAGGGTATAATTTCCAAACGACAACCGAAACCGACTAACTCCAGGCTCTGACAAAAATAAGCAACCCTCTAAAAAATCCAATGGTTTACATGTTAGAATTCACATGCACATGCTCGCTGTAGGCGGTCATTACCGCCAGTTTGCTGCGTTCTTGTTGGCAGAAACTCCCGTTTCGTGGCTGCTGGTTGAGCCTGCAATGCTGGGAGGTCGAGCACTCGAGTTCTTGCGCTTCCCCAGCTTGCTAAAAACGGACAGGGAGCGATTCTTCTCCTCGCTTATAGAGAGGGCTCGGGCGGAGGATGGTGTTGCGACAGCATGCAGCTGCTTCGTGTCGATGAAGTCCTTGGGGAAAATGCCCGTCTTGCCCTTGGAATTCGTGCCAGTCCAGCACCAATTATCCGCGTTAACATCTAGACAAAAAAAAAAAACTTGTCAGCAAATTTCCATCCATGTACTAGGGACCGGAATTAATCCACTCACAAGATATATTGGTGATCACATCGCCCTTGTCGAACTTAAGCCAGTTCACCGTGTCCTTGTCCTTGTTCTTTTCCTTAACAGAAAACTTCCACCTAGCCTTTGCTTGAAGCAGACTGCTTCTATCGTATCGAATCATATTGCTCGGGGGAGGGTCGAACCTGATGAGTTCGAATGGGACGGATGCTTGCACTCCGTCATGCCACGCTAAACACCAGTCACCGAGATACTGCTCAGGCCAGGTAATACCAGTGATTCTCGCGTTATGTCCCAGCTCAAGAGCCGGGGTCCTATCGTAGAGAAGCATCTGACCGTAGATGCGTCGAGCCTGGTCCTTTGATACACCGCTGGGATGTGCCATGATCTCCTCGCGTCTTTCGATACAAGGGTGACGCTGGGGCGGGTTGGGGAAGTGGATATCGTAGTCGTTGACATACTGGGCAGGCATCTCGGGCCCTTCAATAGTGACCACACCTTGGACGTCTAGCAATGGGCGGGGATGCCGGGCAAGGTGATCGAATAGGGCTTTCTGGTTGAAGAAAACCGTCGCATCGCTCTTATCCAGCGTGTGGCCAGCCCGAATACAGAAAACGCAGCCATATTGAACATCGTCGATTCTCTTGGTGGCAAGATGGGATTTTTGCAGGAATCTGACCCTAAAGTTGATGCCGTTTCTCGAGAAGTTGCCCTTCTCTGCAAATTCAATTCAGCAAATGAATCAACTAAGGGGTTGTAAACAATCTCCTACCTTCTTTGTTCACATCAGCCTCGATTTGGGTGAAATCAAGTTCGTACAAGCAGCTCGAACATCTCGCAATGGTGGCATGGCTAGCATAACCCTACTTCTTGTTAGCTTTCAAAGCAAACCGACGCCCTGGAACAAGAATGCAGATACTTACAACTGGTTTCTTGGTCCGCTTGACACCAATGCCACCCCGGATGACTTCCTGTGCACCATCACAGAATCCCTTGGCGATCCAGAATGAGCTTGTGTTGTCGATGATACATTCCTGAGCGTTGATCCTAGAAGCGAACCCAACATTGGACTCGTTCTTCTCCTGCTCAGAATCGACGGGGATGGGGGCGAAGTCCATTTCTGCCAGTTCTTCGGTAGAGCGCGGGATGGGCTCAAGCCCGCCCCGTTCACTTGGATTCACGGTTTGTGGGAGTGATGTTGCCTGGGCTGCCAATATTTGGGTTGGCGATATTGGCGATGTTGCCGGCGAAGTTGGCGGTGATGCTAGTCGCTGGGGAGGTGATGCGAGTCGTTGAGGCGGTGATGCTACTCGCTGAGGAGGTGGTGGCAGAGGTGCTGCTGGCGGCGGCGAAGCGTAACGATGGGGATGGCCTGGAGCCGCTGGCGCTGACTGTCTGTTGAGAATATGAGGATTTAAGGCCGTTGTTGGGTGAGATAGGGAGTCTGATCGAGGCGGGGTTTCACTAGGCATGGCAGGCTCCGATGTGACTGAGAGCGCAGCAGACAGCTTTCGAGTCTGCGGTTGTGACTGAGGGGATCGTGGTGATCGCGGGGAATGAAGCTCCGAAGGAGAGGTGGGAGCCGTGTCCAGAGTTGAATTCTCGGGAATCGAGTATGACATCAGGGCCGAACCTTTCGAGCGAGGATGAGGGAATGGACTATAGCTGTGACCGCTAGAGACGCTGCCAGTGCTGCTGCCCGTGCTCAGACGCTGGCCATTCAGGCGCTGGTCGCTGAGGCGCGGATCGCTCAGACGTGGATCGGTTGGAAAAGAGCCCGGTGGGATACTGCTGAGGTTAAGTGGTTGCACAACAGAGAGGGTAGCATCCGACGCCGACGGCAGCACAGGAGATTCGTCGGCTAGTATCATCCGTTCCCTCGCAACATCCTCCGGGGACCGGGGTTCGGTTTCCCCAGGCTTCATCGTCCAATCCCAGGGATTCGTCAGCGGTGGTTTGGGAGGGTAATCGCCAGAGTCATAGCCCGGATCGCTTACACTACCCTCGACACTCCCAGAACCTCGCATTAGCCCCTTCAGCTGGGCAGTGGCATCCTCGACCCCACGACTGTCCTGGAACGTCTCTGAAGGTGTTTGTCGTGGCACAGGTACAGGAATTGAGACGGCTATAGGGGCGATGGGAGGGCTCGCCGGTGTAGACACGGACAACTGTGCAAACGATCCCCTCGACGACATATCATCACGAAACGGCACCTCGAGCTTTAGTCGCATCAGGATGTCGTAGATCTTGGGTGCAGCTTTGCGAGACAAGGCCTGCAGTTCGGTGAATTTCGAGGCGTCGAAGTCATCTACTTCGACATAGTCTTCGAATTCCCATAGCAAGTCCGTAAGTTCGCTTCGGAAGTTGGCAATCTGATCTACCAGCGTTGATACCCGTGTTAGTGATCCCGGTCTACCTCGAGGATGGGGAGCATAGGGTAGGGAGCCGACAGGGCCAACAAACCATTATCCTTCAGAGCAGCAACAAAGTTGGGACCGTAGTCGACCAGCTGCTTGTGACATAGGGGTTCAATGCGTCGCAGCCCGCGGTCGCCCTCCCTAGACAGGGTGTTGGCGGCCTTGAGCATTTCGGGATTGTCGTCGCCGGCATTGAGGGCAGCCTGCTTGGCTTTTTCCACAATGTCCCGGAAGGGTGTAAGCACCAGGTCCTCAACCTCGTCCATGGCTGCGGACAGACAGTTGGGTAGATGGAAAAAAAAACACCAAGAATGCTTGATCTCTATCCAAACGAATACACGAGCGAAGAGTAAAGAAGTTACAGAGAAAAGCACGCACGCGCGCCTCGCAAGGCAGCGGTGTTTGTCAAGTAGATCTGGGCTTGGTGGCTACCGGGCGGCGTCGTTTGGCGGGGTTCTGCTCTGAGCCTAGCGGTCGCACTCCGCGAAATCGGCGGGTGGGTTAGCGCTGTTGCCAGGTGCCCAGACAGAGAAGACGATCACCCAGCGACGGAATTGAGGCGGAATAGCGTCGTGGCTTGCAATCTTACCCAGATGCAGGTTGAGCAGTGG